AAGAGAGCCTTAATTATCTCCAGGAAGAAAGAAACATGGCTTTTCTTATTTTAGTAAAACAACATAAAAATCTATAACTTTAATTTTACACAACATAAACTTTAAGTTCCACATATCCCCAGATAGCTTGGATCTGAGGGCATATTCTAGGCGAATAGCGCTCAGATCCCACGAACACAGTTCTCAGAATAATCAACCGAAGTTTGACTTTCACCGGCCGTTCGTGTGTTTGCAGCCGACTGCAAGTTCCATACTATAGCTATCGGGGGTCGGCCACTTTCGCATACTTTAGCGCACGAATGAAGTAGTACCCCTTCATTCGTGTATTTTTCCACCGTATGAACGAGGATGGGTGAAGGTAGCAGCGGTGTTCGACAAAATAGGTAGCCGAAATCAGTTCCAGGGAATCCTCACCATTTACCGCTGTGCGTTCGACAATACAAAATGGCGATTGCCACGTGTTCGGTAGATGAACGCGGACCACCCGCTATTCACCAATTAGTCTGTGGTTAACCGCAACAGTCAGGGTGGTCAATAGGCGCCACACGACCTCAGTGGGAGGTCAGTGGTTCGGTAGCTCATTCGCATTTATTGTTATTTCCACGAAATCCTGCTGTAATTCTCCAAATAACCGAACAGGCTTGTTCGTATAGTCTGTAAATAGGGGATTTCGTTACACAGCTCCCCCTTAGTCCCATGGAACGGCATACCTGCTTAGATCCTAACGGGTCGGCTAAGGGATGTCCGGTAGCACAGGAGAAACAAACAAAAATAACTACTTTTCCAGTTCAGTTTGCCGTGACAGGCCATCGGCATTGGCATTCTGTTTCCAGGGGCGATACTGCATTGTAAAATTATAGGGTTGCAGTGCCAAGCTCCATCTGAGTAGTCTGGGGTTATCGCCAGCTACTCTGTTAAGCCAAATTAAAGGGTTGTGGTCAGTCAGCACTGTGAAGGAGCGTCCATACAAGTAGGGTTGTAGTTTCTTAAGTGCCCAGACTAATGCCAGACACTCTTTCTCCACAGTGGCATAGCTGACTTCGCGGGGTAATATTTTTCGGCTCAGATACGCCACCGGGTGATCCATGCCATCGTCTCCCACCTGGCTCAATACTGCTCCCAGTCCAAACATTGAGGCATCTGTGTGGACAAGAAACCTTTTAGTATGATCAGGTGCCGCTAACACAGGAGATGCACTTAACGCAGCCTTGAGTTTCTGGAACGCCTCCTCACACTCAGTGGACCAGACTACTTGTCGGGGTAGGGACTTTTTGGTGAGGTCTGTCAAGGGTTTGTATTCCGCTACAAATTTCCTGTAATAACCTGTGGTGCCCAAGAACGCCATGACCTGGGTTTTCGTCCGGGGTTGAGGCCACTGGGTGATGGCCTCAATCTTAGCGGGCTCTGGTCTCTGTTTTCCTGACCCTACTCTGTGACCTAGATATTGGACTTCAGCTATGCCCATGTGACATTTCTCAGGCTTCAAGGTTAGCCCTGCATTCTGAATTCGGTTGAGCACTACTGAGATGTGCTCCAGGTGGGCTTCCCAAGTGCCACTGAAGATAGCTATATCATCCAGGTAAGCACAAGCAAAGCCCTGAAATCCCTCTAGGAGCCGGTCTGCCATCCTTTGAAACGTAGCTGGGGCATTCTTCATCCCAAATGGCATAACCTTAACCCCTTAAGGACACATGACATGTGTGACATGTCATGATTCCCTTTTATTCCAGAAGTTTGGTCCTTAAGGGGTTAAACTGGTATAGGCCAAATGGGGTGACAAATGCCGATTTTGGAATGGCCCCAGGCTCCAAAGGGATTTGCCAATATCCCTTACACAAATCAATAGTGGTCAAATAATTCCCCCCAGCCATACGGTCTAGCAGCTCGTCTACTCTGGGCATGGGGTATGCGTCGGTAACGGTCCGATCGTTTAGCTTACGGTAGTCCACGCAGAACCTGGTGGTACCATCTTTTTTAGGAACCAGGACTACTGGGGAAGCCCAGGGGCTTTGGGACAGTTCTATGACCCCCAGTTCTAACATGTCCTGGAGTTCCGTTAACATGCTTTCCCGTACTGCCTCTGGAATTCGGTAAGGCTGCTGCTGCAGGGGTAACTGGCCTGGGGTCTCCACTCTGTGGACTGCCAGGGTCGTATACCCTGGGGCTGCTGAAAACATGCCCCCAAATTCCTTTAACAGTTGGGAAGCCTGAGCTTGTTCCTCGGAACCTAATTCTGGACCCAACTGTACCTGGTCTACTCCTGTGGGTTTCTGTGGAAGCATATCTGGTAAAGGGATACCCTCGTTATCTTCATATGCTGGAGCGCATACCGCGGAGACCTCCTCTGGTCTCTCGAGATATGGCTTGAGCATGTTTACATGGAAGGACCGCCGGATCCTTTCATCGGAACAGTCTGCCACAATGTACGTGGTATCACTGATCCGCTCTATTACAGTGTAGGGGCCCTGCCAGGATGCTTGTAACTTATCTGTTTTGATAGGTTTAAGCACTAGGACCTTTTGTCCCACTTCTAATATGCGGTCTCTAGCTCCCTTGTCATACCAGTACTTCTGCCGTTGTTAGGCGGCTCGCAGGTTCTCCCGAACTGTTTCGGTCAGAGCCTGCAGCCGGTCCCTCAACTCTAGCACAAAGGAGACTATAGGGGTTCCTGCTTGTTCCATATCACCTTCCCAATGTTCCCGTACTAGATCCAGGTGTCCCCGGTCCCGTCTCCCTTATAATAGCTCGAACGGGGAGAATCCGGTGGACTCCTGGGGAACTTCCCTATAGGCAAAGAGCAAATGAGGGAGGATCTTTCCCAATTCTTACAGGTCTCTGTGAACGTGATGAGCATTTGCTTAAGGGTGCCGTTAAAGCGTTCACAGAGGCCATTGGTTTGGGGGGGATAGGGAGAACTTAATATGGGTTTTACCCCACAGCTCTGCCAGATCACCGCGGGGAATTTGGTTCCCTGATCTGACACTATCTCCCTAGGGAATCCCACCCTAGTGAATACCTGAACTAGTGCTTCCGCTACCGTCTCTGCATGTATATTTGACAGAGCTATAGCTTCGGGGTAGCGGGTAGCGTAGTCCACCACAGTAAGAATGTATTTCTTACCGGATGGACTGGGTTTACTGAGTGGCCCGACTAAATCAACTGCCACTCGGAAAAATGGTTCCTCAATAATGGGTAGGGGACGTAGTTTTGCCCTGGGGTGATCCCCTCTCTTCCCTACCTTTTGGCATACTTCGCAGGTCCTACAATAATCCTGCAAATCTCTAGTGACCCCTGGCCAGAAAAAGGACTGGGTGAGTCTGTCTCTCGTCTTTTTAATGCCCAAGTGACCTGCTAGGGGAATATCGTGGCTAATCCGTAACAGTTCTACTCGATACTTACGGGGCACTATTAACTGTCTTTTTTCTACCTGGCCCGCTCCCCAGTCACTCGGTACAGTAAACCCTTTTCCCAGCTAAACCTTGCCTGATCTCTGTCTCCCTGGGTTTGTTCTGCCTCCCTCCGATACCCTTTTAAGGTGGGATCTTCCCATTGCGCTTGCTCAAAGTCTTGAGGGGTACCCCAGTAAGAAGTATGTTCAGGGGGAATCGTCAGAGGGTTATCGCTTACCTGGTCATGGGTTGAGGGGGAGGCTTCCATAGCTCTGGATTGCTGCCGGGTGGTAACAGGTAGTGCTCCTTCGGGACTGCAGGCTGCCAATTGGGACGTCAGGCATCCTAGATCATTCCCCAGCAATACTTCAGCGGGCAAATCTGGCATGATGCCCACTTCTATGGCCTTGGCCCCTGTATCCCAATCAATGTGAACCCGGGCTGTTGGTAATTTGTGAATTGCCCCTCCGGCCACCCTTACAGCAATGGTGCGTCCTGTGTGCTGGGTCGGGGTGACCCGGTGTGGCTGGACCAAGGTAATAGTAGCCCTGCTGTCTCTTAGTCCCCGAGCCTCTTGTCCATTGAGCTTTACTGACTGGCGGTGGTGCGCCCTGTTATCCCCAGCCGCTTGGACAGGGTTCACCTCATGTAAGGTGGCCCAATTCTCACTATTGCTACTGGGTGTCTCTTGAGTCAGAGAGTTGTAATCCTCTTGCACACAGTGTGCGGCTGTTTTGGTCGGTGGTACCGGTGTCCGCCCCCAGTGGTCTGTAGTGCGTTGTGGGCAATTAGGTTTGATGTGCCCCACTTGTTTGCACCCATAACACATTGGAGCGGTCTTTTGGTACCCCGGGGTTGTGGTATTGCCCCCTGCTGGTGGTACCCTCTGTGGCATAGTTGGCGGGCCAGATGCAGGCCGCTGGCTCTGGACCCCTCGGTTTCCATCCATCCGCCTGCTCTCATGAAATTCGTCTGCCAGCCGTGCTGCCTCCTCCACCGTGGCTTTCTGTCTCTGACCCAATCTCTCACCTCCGCTGGAGTATAATCAAAAAATTGTTCCAGCAACAACAATTGCACAGCATCCTCTAGGGTAGTTGCCTAATTCCCCTGCATCCAATTACTGGCAGCGCGTTGCATACGAAATGCCCACTCCGTATATGAATCTTTGCCTTGTCTTCTGAGGGCCCTGAATTTCCTTCTATGGGCTTCAGGAGTTACAGCGTACCGGGCTAACAAAATCTCTTTTATCTTGTCATAGTTTTGTATATCCCCATCTGGCACAGCTCTCAACTCTCAACGGCTGCTCTACCTGATAGTTTACTACTTTATACTGCAGCCCAGTTAGCTCTTTCCAAATCTTCTAACACACATCGTCTTTCAAAATCTTGCAAGTAATTATCAATATCCATCTCACCTTCCACAAAGCTTTTAAATGCAGCGTAGTTCATTTTCCGCTGATGCCCCATTGTAGATCCAGATAGCGACAGTATATCCACTGGAGGTGATCTGTCTCTGGCTTCTCGTGCTTCCCTGGCATTCTGTGACTCTGTAGCTTGTGCCAAGATCTGTACCACGATCTCTGGTGCAGGGTTAGGTCCTACCAGGCTGAGTCTCCATCTCACATCCCTCTGGAACTCTGTTTCCTCTGCATTCGCCATTTGTGGTTCGCCGGTTTGATCGCTCTCCAGTAGTTCGGCTATTAACATGGCTTTCGGTTTGTTGCTTGCCACTATGCCTCGAACTTCCAGCAGTTCCTTTAATGTGGTTCGTTTCAAGCGTTCGTATCTATGCGCCATTCACCACTTGTTTCAATTCGGTACGTCCGTTCGGGAGGAAATCCCGCCGCTTGCCACCAGTGTAAAGGATCCTTGCATTCGTGCAGTGATGATCCTTGCAGCTTCTCCCGAAATCCAACTGAAACGAAGTGATTATAACTCCCAATCCCTCAAACATGAGTCGAGACTTCATGAAGGGGTAAAACGATCTGATTTACTGTGGGCTACCCGCCCGGTATTTATGCAGGTCTTCCACCTGGTGGACACTCCCCTAGGGGACCAGATGGAAGACTGGGACAAAAGTAACACAGTAGCCAATCACAGTGGCTATAGCATAAGCACTCCTCTTTTACCTAAATCACTCCCTCTTTTCCATCCTGGAGATAATTAGATTAAGGTAGCAAAGAGAGCCTTAATTATCTCCAGGAAGAAAGAAACATGGCTTTTCTTATTTAGCAAAAACAGAATAAAAATATATAACTTTCTTTTTACACAACATAAACTTTAAGTTCCACATATCCCCAGATAGCTTGGATCTGAGGGCATATTCTAGGCGAATAGCGCTCAGATCCCACGAACACAGTTCTCAGAATCGTCGACCGAAGTTTGACTTTCACCGGCCGTTCGTGTGTTTGCAGCCGACTGCAAGTTCCATATTATAGCTATCTGGGGTCGGTCACTTTCGCATACTTTAACGCACGAATGAAGTAGTACCCCTTCATTTGTGTGTTTTTCCACCGTATGAACGAGGATGGGCGAAGGTAGCAGCGGTGTTCGACAAAATAGGTAGCCAAAATCAGTTCCAGGGAATCCTCACCATTTACCGCTGTGCGTTCGACAATACAAAATGGCGATTGCCACGTGTTCGGTAGATGAACGCGGACCACCCGCTATTCACCAATTAGTCTGTGGTTAACCGCAACAGTCAGTGTGGTCAATAGGCGCCACACGACCTCAGTGGGAGGTCAGTGGTTCAGTCGTTCATTCGCATTTATTGTTATTTCCACGAAATCCCGTTGTAATTCTCCAAATAACCGAACAGGCTTGTTCGTATAGTCTGTAAATAGGGGATTTCGTTACACATACAAAATTCAAAATGCCTATATCGGCTGCAAAGACCGGTACGCGTTTCGCCAACTTAAATTGGCTTCCTCAGCCGGATAAAAATGATATGTATCCCCAGGTTCCCTTCGCCGGTTTTAAATCTTCTCAAATCGGCGGGTAAGTGCTCGGTTCAAATTCCCGTCACACGCTAGTGCCGCCCACTAGCACAGCGTGTGCGGTCCATGCCTCTTTTTCGTTACGGTACCCACAGGTACCGAGATGTTGTCCTCCTAATTGCTTTCTCCGTAACAAATGAGAATATCTTCTCTCCCTTTTGATTCCACCATTTTCGAATTCACCTTATAGGATTTCTTCTTCATTTAGCAATAGTCTATATGATGGAAATCAGTAAAAAAGAAGAAAAGAAAAAGCGCAGTATCAGTCCATAATACAAAAATGCCTTATTCTAAATCGCAATAAAAAATAAAAAATACGTATAATAAAAACAGTAAAATACACATTGTGTTAAGGGCTCATGATAGTACAGAAGATACAAACACTGATAAGTATGGGATAGTGTGAAAGAGCAAGTCGGTTGTGGTGTGCCGGAACCGACGATGAGGTAGGCCTGTAAATAAAGAGGGCCCACCAATAAGAAATGTATGAGAAAAAGGAGTTAATAAAAAGGAGTGGGTGGGAGGGTGATGCAGCGCTGACCTCGAACGGTATGGAGCCAGGTAAGGGGTGTCCCTTAAGTAGGGAGAAGGTGAGTCATACGCCCCTCCCACAATTACAGGCCAAAAGGCCTTAATACTTGTGTTAAGGGCTCATGATAGTACAGAAGATACAAACACTGATAAGTATGGGATAGTGTGAAAGAGCAAGTCGGTTGTGGTGTGCCGGAACCGACGATGAGGTAGGCCTGTAAATAAAGAGGGCAAAAAGTAGAAAATATACTTTATTACGAAACGAGCAGTATACATACTTCAACCAGACATATCTTGAAAGGCATTTCTAACTTCTTGTACCGGGTTAGGTATGTATCTAGAGTATGCAGAAGACTTCCAGCGCCCTAGTGACTTGATAACATGTACTGGAATGTTTGCACTGGACGCTGTGGAGGCCGCCCCTATGCGGAAGGAGTGGCCCGAATAGTTAGCTGATTTTAGTCCTAGTTGTGTAAGTAGGGACCTGACGTGGGTCATGAAGGTGGTGGTAGTGAGTACCGAACCTTGTAGACAGAAAAGTGGTTGAGATGGTGATGCTTTGAAATGCTGAGTATAGGTGTCCAGTAATGTGACGGGGCACCACACGTTGTGGGTAGGATAGTATCTAACCTCTACCGGGGGTGCGTGTTGATTGGTTTTGGAGTGATGCAGAGTTAAAATATAGTAATCCATGTGTTTCGTTAAGTGTGAATGAAGCAGAATGTGAGTGGACTGGGATGTGTTGATGGCGGTAAATTCTCTTGGTCTCAAGAAACCATAAAAAGCTACGTATATGGCGGTTTTTATAACAAGGTTTGTGTTGTTCGCAAAGGGTTTTGAATCTAGTAGGCTGGATAAATCCTTGAAGATATTGAAGTCTATAGGTAGCCTTTGCGCGGTACGTGGGGGTTCGGATCTCTGGATACCTCTAAGGATGTTTTTTATCTGGTAGGAGGACATGAAACTTGTGTTGTTTGGTTGTAATGTTAGCATGTGATGTTGTATGCCTGTCAGATATAGCTTGATTGTGTTGTAAGATAATTTAAGTTTGAGGTGGCAAAAAGAAGCAAAACCTAACAAAGATGTCATGATGAAAGGTTGTGTGACGTTGTGCAGTGACAGGAATCTTTTAAATAGAAGGAAAGCCCTGTCATATGTTCTCCGGGTATTGGTGGACAGTGCTAATTGTGCCAATGTCCTGCTATGTTGCATAATAGCTTCTAGTCCATGACTAGCTGGTGGAAAGGTGGAGTGGTCGTGGCTGTACGTGCGGCTGACGGAAGTATTTGCCGAAAAGCCTGAAAATTGAAACGAGACAAATTGTCAGCAGCCGTGTTACAAACACCTGGGACATGGACACAAAACAAGAAGAAGTTATGGCATGCAGCCAGCCAGGTGAGTTTCCTCAAGAACCTCATAATGGTCAGTGACTTGGATCGGCCTTTGTTTATGATGTGGCAGGTAGCTTGGTTGTCTGAGTGGCAACGTACTGACGAACCTGCCCATAGATGCCCCCATGTCACGGCAGCTGCTACAATGGGATACATCTCAAATAGAGCTGAGGTAGTGGAAAACCCTTCCAGGTCCTGTACCTCTGGAGGCCAGCTACCCCAAAGCCATTCATTCCCGTAAATTGCTGCAAAACCTGTGGTAGCCGCCGCGTCTGACCAGATGGTAGGTGAGGAGTCAGACAATTTAGGGAGAAACATGCTTTTCCCATTCCAGGTGGTCAAAAAGTTTCTCCACATAAGTAGGTCTGCCGTGGCTTGGGTATCCAGTGGTAACCTGTGTGCATCATGTCTAAACAGTGGGAACATGGTTAGGAGCCGTGAGATGAAAGCCCGGCCTTGAGGTATAATGCGCATGGCAAAGTTCAGTGACCCAAGTAGAGACTGCAATTCTTTGCGATTGCAAGTACCGAGGTGTATGTAGAGGTTAATGTTGGTGAGAATGTTCTCTATCTTGGTGCGTGGCAGGCTGGCTTGCATGGTGGCTGAGTCTAGCATGATTCCCAGAAAGGTGATGACTGTATCTGGTCCTTCAGTTTTGGTGGGGGAGACTGGAACACCCACCTGTTTGAAAAGACTGATGGTTGCTATGAGGCTACTGGGAGGGGAAGTGTTCTCTTCGATCAGTAAGAAATCATCCAGGTAGTGTATAACTGTAGGGCATCTGGCTACATTTAATAATAACCAGCATAATGTTTCGGCGAATACGTCAAAAATGGCCGGACTACTTTTTGAACCAAACGTTAGGCGTGAGAAAAAGTAGTAGTGCCCGGCCCACTTAATGCCATGCAGGTGCCATAGTGTAGGGTGGATAGGCAATAATTTGAAGGCATTTGTAATGTCAGTCTTGCTGAGCCATGCTCCGACCCCTGCCTGCATGATAGCTGTAATGGCGTGATCTATGGTGGAGTATTGAAGTGAAAATTCCTCAGAGGGGATAAGGGAGTTCAGACTAGGTGAGGCAGAGGTGTGAGGTGCAGACAGATCGATGATAAGTCTTTGTTTGTGGGAAGATTTCCCTGTGACAATACCGATGGGGTTTGTCCGCCATGTGGAAAAAGGAGAGGACTGAAAGGGTCCCAATAGGAAGCCCTCTGCCACTTCTTTGGCTATGAGTGTGCTAACCGCTGTAGGGTTTTGTTGTGCAGATTGTAAATTAGGACATTCAAGGATTCCTGAAGGCATGTGTATGAGACCAGTATGGAATCCTTGTGATAGACCAGTGATGATGAAGTCTACCAAATGTCTAGATGGATGTCGTGACAGTAATGCCGTGAGTACAGAAATATTTATCTCAGTTAAGTATTGCTTAGGGTACATTTTATTTGGACACATGGTTTTCGCATGTGCCCTAAAACATTTTGAACATATATGCAATAACCGACAACCGCTGTAATTACATGCACCGACATTGAAATTATTACATATTTGGGACTTCCCCAAAAACTTGATAGGTCGACCCAGTTTGTCTTTGGGTGTTCTCTCTGCTGACACAGCGGAGCTAGTGCCCTGCGAGGTGGTAGGTTCGTTCGCAGTGGTCGGACAAAAATTGGCAGTATGAGCCATGGAGGAGCAGTGTGCACAGGCCGGTGCTCTTAGACCTGCAAAGTGCCTGCAAAAAATGATCGTATCAATCTTACTCCAGTTGGACCTTGTCCCGTACTGTGAGAAGGCGCCAGACACTTTGGCAGAAAAAGATCTATGGTAGTCATAGAAAGCTGACCCACCATATTTGTTGCCCAGATCAACCAGCCTGTGCATATATAAGTCAAACTCCTCACGTCTGTGGGGATATACCGTACAGACCACATCCCGATAA